AGAGGGGGTCGCAGCCGATGGGGTCGCAGGATCGCGCCGCAGCGCCGATGCATCGGCGATGCGGCTCGACGTGGATCCCCACTTTTCTCTGCGACGCCGACGTCGCCGATGCATCGCCAACCTCGGGGTGAGCAACAAAAACGGAGTCGGTCCCCCAGACTTATGGTGTTCCAACCTACTTTAGCCTTGATTATCAAAATCAGACTTTTGAGCACCAAAAGAAGGTACCGAGGTCCTCCCTGCCTTCCTCCTCCTCCTCCTCCTCCTCCTCCTCCTCCTCCTCCTCCTCCTCCTCCTCCTCCTCCTCCTCCTCCCCCTCCTCCTCCCACTCCTCCTCTTCCTCCTCCTCCTCCTCTTCGTCCTCCTCCTCCTTCCCCCTCCGCCCTGGGCTCGCGCCCCCGCCTCGGGGGGTGCGAAGGAGGTGCCCCTGGCCCGAGGTGCCCCCGGTTTTTCGCGCCGCCGTGGAGCCCCCTATGGGGCCCTCGGGGGCCTCGGGCTCGGACGCCCGAAATGGGTACGGAAAAAACGGGCACAATGCCCAACAGCAAACGTTGTCCCAAACCAACAACAAACGTTGTCCCAAAACGGGCACAGTGCCCAACAACGACAAATGAGGAGGGAGGAGGAGGGAGGAGTCAAGAGCCACCCAGGGAAGGGGAAAGAGACCGCGTACTCTGTGGACGCCCGAGATGGGTACGGAAAGAATGGGCACAATGCCCAACGACAAACGTTGTCCCAAACCAACAGCAGCCGCTGTCGGGCAGGCGGCCTTCTGTCTCGAATGGACACAGGCCGCGGCGGCGCGGACAGCGAGTCTTGTTCAGAATGAACAGGAACTGCTGTTGGGCAATGTACCCATTCTTTCCGTACCCATGTCGTTCGTGCAGATCGGGAGGGAGCTGCTCCTTGGCAATCCGAGAGGCCGGGAGGAGCCCCCCTCGGAACTCCTGGAGGCACCTTGGGTTCCAAGGCCGCCTCTGGCAGCAACCGATCGTCGCTTCTCAGCGGCGCGGAGAGGGGAGCAGGGGGGGGAGGCTTCTTAGAAGCACCCCTGCTTCCTAGAAGGCGTGGGCCTTGTCTGTGGATGTAGGGCTGGCGCCTTCTAGAAGCAGCCTCCTTCTGAGAGGCCTTCCCTTCCCCCCTCCCCCCACCGCTTGGTGCGCGCCGCCATGCTTCGGGCCCGTCGGCCTGTCGCCCACTCTCACGGCCTTCCGGTCCTCCCGCCGCGGGTCGTTCGTGTCGCGGGGGTCCGGTCCCCGCTCGCGCCAGGTCCTCTGGGACGAGCAGGGAGAGAGCAGCAGCAGCAGCAGCAGCCGCAGCAGCAGCAGAGCAGCAGCAGCAGCTGCAGCTGCAGGAGGTGCAGCTAGAAAAAACTGGACGGATCGCCCTCCAGGATCTGTGCAGGGTCGATCTGCCCTGGAGCTTCTGAGGTCCAGCTGCCTTCCAGAAAACGCGAGGCAAGGTTGTGAGAGGTAGCGTGAAAGGGAGGCAAATTCAGGGGGGAAAACATCGACCTGGAATCGGCGATGCATCGCTGACACATCCGCGATGGGCCCCCCGATGGCGAACCCGCACGGTCCTGGGCTGGGTGGGTCTATCGGGCCCCTATCGGCGATGAATGGGAGATCGAGGGTCGATGTATCCCCCGTGAGTTATGTTGCTCCCATCGTACTTAAGGACCACATCCCATAAGGGGGATTTGGGACGGAAATAAAAATACCCCCCAAAAAAACTCAAAAGATGCCCGAAAATATTCAGAAAATAGTCCCCAAGCTATTTTTTACTATTTTTGAATATCCCCCCCTGAAGAGGGACAGGCCCGATTGAGCACTACCCCTGAGCTTGGAGAGATCGAGGAGCCGAGAGCGGCACGACGGGAGCCTGCGCCGGCGCGCCCGCCTGCTGAGTGGAGCTCGCCGTCCAGGCGCGCGCTGCATCCGATCGTGGGCCCTGGCCCCAGAGGCCCGCGGTCGGACGGGGGCCTGCCCAAGGTAAGGTCGGGCATGTCTTCCTACAGGCGGACGTCAGCAAAATTGAAGAATGACCAAAACAATACTCAAACACGACCAAGCATACTCGAACAGCATCGTCCCCAGACTATTGTTCGACTATTGTTGAAGATTCCTCCTGTAGAGGGACATGCCCGATTGAAGTCCAGGCGCGAGCTGCATCCGATCGTGGGCCCTGCCCCCAGAGGCCCGCGGTCGGGCGGGGGCCTCCCTACGGCCCTAAGGTGCGCGCCCTCGTCCTGAGAGAGGCTCCGCCGAGGCAGGCCGCAGAAAGGCGAAGCCCCTGCGGTGCCTCGCAGGCCCGCGGAGAGGACGTCGCTGCCTGCACGCCCTGCGGACTGCTCCTTCCTCCTCCTCCTCCTCCTCCTCCTCCTCCTCCTCCTCCTCCTCCTCCTCCTCCTCCTCCTCCTCCTCCTCCTCCTCCTCCCGCTCCCCCTCCTCCTCCTCGTCCTCCTCCTGCCCCTTCCTCCTACTCCTCCTCCTCCTCCTCC